GAGCAAAAAAACAGACTTATCCCTGTTTATAGATGCCTCTGATAACATACAATACTCATCTAATACTATCCTTAGTTCTGTGAGGGCCGACTGCGAATTTTCACAGGCTACTATGAGGTCATCCGCAATAGCCCCCCCCTTCCAGTGAATGGAGGGGGGCAACTCCAAACCCCTCATCCCCGGGTTATGTCTTATATTATCTAATAACACCTTTAGCTGAAGAACAAATAAAAGAGGAGCCAGGGGGAAGCCCAGGCGCAGAGATCGCGTAAGCTTAAAATCCTCAGACAATCTACCGTTGACCAAGACCACAGAGGAAGCCTCTGCGTACATGGCTTTTACACTTTGCATAAAATTAGGGCCAAAGCCCATTTTGCTTAGGGTCGTGAACACGAAGGGCCAACCGACTTTATCGTATGCCTTCTCCATATCCACGAGAAGGACTGCGATTTCACGTTTTTCTCTCGAGATGACCTCTAGGGCCTGCAGGGTAGTCAGTATGTTGTCRAAAATTGTACGACCTTTAACAAAGGCCCCTTGTTCTGGGCCCACCAGATTGGGCAAGTGCTCCGCCAACCTGATAGCCTGGGYTTTGGCTAAAATTTTATATGCCACATTTMACACARAAATAGGTCTATAGTTCCTAACTTCCGACTYACTTCCCTTCTTGTACAGTAAAGAAACATATCCCTTTAAAAAGTCGGGTGGAAGAGTGTCTCCCTCCCTCATATTATTATACACCTTGCACAAGAAGGGGCCGAAGACTTCCCAGCATTCCATATATACAGTTCCACTGGGAGGCCATCAAGGCTTGGGCACTTTCCTCTTGCCATCTGATTAGCTGCTTTCCTTAGTTCCTCCACCATGAAGGGTTCTTCTAACATTTGTGCCATTCCTGTCGACAGTCTGACCGTGGTTCTGTCCCAAAATAATGTGTTACCGGATAAGTCTGTGTCACAGGAGTGATTTGGTCTTCTTGTGATGACAATGTCACTAAAGTAGTCGAAAGCAAAAAAACACATTGTCTCTATATCCGTGGCCAGCGACGAACCTATCGCAAATGGATGTGCTAGCTCCCTAATGAGGGATTTAGATTGTCTGAGAATCAGGGAGCGAAACGAAATCTTGGTCATTCTATTGTACCCTATAATCCCCCTGAGTTTCAACCAGTCCAACCATTTGAACTGTTTTCTGACTTCTATTTTTTCTAGTTCCACCATTGCTTGACTTCTTTTTTCAGACCAGTAATAATCACAGAAAGGGTCTCCGCCCATCTCTCCTTCTGCCTGTTCAATTGCTTTTCTCAGTTGTTTTCCTTCCAGGTCCGAGAGGCAGCTTTCATTCTCAAGAATTTCATTAGAGCGGCTCTAATTATATTTATCCCTCCTTCCGCCCACTCTAACTGATTCTCGAACAAGTCTTTTGCTTCTTCCCAACAGCGCATTTGGTCTACCACCCACGATTTGATCCCTTCGTCCTTCAAAAGATTAACGTTCAGCCTAAACAGGGGTCTCTCTTTCTCCACTACATCCACCGACTGGACTGGTTAGTGATCCGAAAGGGACCCATACAGGATATCCGACCAGCAGCACCTGTCCCACGGGGCTCCTCTGGCGAGTATAGAGTCCAGTCCGCTACGAGGTGCTTGTGCTCTTTTGGAAGGGCGCGGCCCATACCACGAGAACCCATTTGCATCCGAGTTCAAGATCCGGAATACGTCCGTAAGCGCCTGTGATTCTGTAAATCCTGAGAGCATTCCTGCATCCGCCCGTGCTGGGAGTCTGGATAGGGAGTCCAAACCTGGGATCAAAATTGTGTTCCAATCCCCCAACAGAATCAGGTTTTCAGTGTCTGGTACACAACTGGGGAGATTGGTCAGGAATTCCACTCTCTGATTAAGTTCTACCGGGGCGTAGATGGACAGTACTGCCCAATCTTCTTCCCCTAGTTGAAACTTTAACCAGGCAATGCGGCCCTCCGTGTACGAGAAGGAGTCGAGTTCTGTTACATCTAGATTTTTGTCAATTAATACCGACGTCTCTGATTTTGTCATTCTTAAGCTTCGTTTCCTGCAATCCTATGATCTGCACGTTAGTAGAGTGAATCCACTGATGAAAACGTGATCTTTTGAATCTTCGATTAGTATCCCCTAAACCTCGAATATTCCAGGAGGCAATTCGAAGTTAAGGCGGAAGGACCGTCTGGTCGATTCCCGTCGTTTTGTTGGATACGGCTCATGTGGGCTGGCGAGAGGGCCTGGGCCCAACTCTTTTGGTCTTTCTGCTGTGGGTTCCCGTTTCTGACTGCTGCCACCAGACCTGCAATATTTTCATTAGTTAATCTGTCTTGCAGCCCCACGTGTTTGACCCATTCTAAAACCAGTGCTCCTGGTCTCCCTGTTGGGAGTTGGAGAGCCGACGTCCTTTCAGACTGATTTGCCAGCAACTCTTGCAAAGGGATCCAATGGACCCTCAAGTCACACCACTTCTCGAAGGAGTCCGTGATCGTTTTGAGGCCCAGTAAGGCAAAGTGAAATACCACCGGGGCCCCTTTATCTACTATCGACAGGTATCGGCTCTGTTTAAAGGTGGGCAATGGTACCACCGCCCCCATGTGGTGTAGCACATGTCTCTTTGTCAACTCTGCCACCTCCTCCTCTGTGGGAGTTGAGTTGACCGGAATCACTGGGATTTTCAAAGCTTCGTTGTTTGTCAGTCTAGTAAGTACTAGAGGGCCATTGGGAGGCAAGTCCGAACAGATCAAAGGAATCAGAAACTTCTTGATTGTTCCTTTAGCATTGTCCGTCCTTATCAACGTTTTCATCGGTTCGGCATGAGATAGTTCTTTTCGAGCGGCCCGATAAATGTGACTGCGTTTTCGGCCAGCAACACTCTTGTTCTTTCCTAGCTCAGGTGAGGTTTTTGTTTGCTCTTAGGCGACAGTTCCCACCCCTGTATTCTCGTTAATCCTGACCTTTTTGAAGGGGGAGCCCCCTGGGATTGTACTATGGTAGATTGGGTCGTTTGTCGCCCGACCTACCACTTTTTGCTTCCTCTGTCCCCCTTTCGTTGACTTCCCTTCCACTAGGCCCTCGTGCTGAAACCCTTCCCCCTTTTCTGAGTCAAACACGTCGTTACAATATAACTTAGATTTCTCTGTCGCATTACCCTGTGGGAGCAGTGGGAGAATCCACGTAGGCCCTACCGCTTCCTGAGTTATCCCATGGGTGGGAGTCGAGTCTTTGAGTAGGGTCTCCCCTACTACACCCAGCAGATCATCCTCTGATTCGCTCCCACTACCGCCCAGGATCACTTCTTCCAGACCTTGCTCATCCCATTCCTCGTCGTCTGTTTCCTCCTCTCCTGGAGTATTTCCCATATCCTCGCCCTTTTCCAAAGCCGAACCCTGTGTCGAGGGGTGGCTAGATTCCCCTTTATCTTCTTCTTGTTTATCCTTATCAGCGGGATTCTCTTTACCCCATCCAATATCCGTCATCCTTCTACCATCTTCTTGACCCACAAGGTCTCTCTCTTCTTCCTCTTCCCTCACTTCTGGAGTGTCCTCTTCATCCTTCTCCATAGGTTCTTTCCTTCTTTCCTCCACCTCTGTCCCTTTTTTTCCCATTGTCTTTCCATCGTCATTCTCGTCCTCACTTCCTTCGGACCCATTCTTTTTTTCCCCCTTTTCTGACCCTTTTTCCATTTCTGCCTCAGAGTCCTGATCCCCCGTTCTTTCTTGTCCCTCCCCATCCTCTCCTTCTTCCTCCTCCTCCTCCTCGACTTCTGACTYTTTCCTTTTTCGTGTCTTTCGTTCCAATTCCTCCTCTTCATCCTCCACTTCCATTTCACTCTCCTCTTCTTCCGATTCCTCTGAGTCCTCAGAATCCTCAGAATCCTCTTCCTCCTCCTCTTCTTCAGAATCYTCTTTTYGTAACTTGTCCTTATCCTCCCCTTCGGCATCACTCATTTTTGTATCGCTCACATTGTCGCCTTTTTCCTTGGTCCTCTTTTGGACAATTTTCCCATCTTTGACGACTTCCCTATACGTTCTTTTAGGGCGCTGTTTCCATACGACTATCTCTTTGCCCTTATCGGAGGTTGGGACGGGGTTAGGATTTTTCCCCCTTCCTATTTCATCCTTCCCATCCTCCCCGTTCCCCCCCCTTGAGCCGGAGGCCTTCTCCTTACTGGTCGGCTCCTTCCCCTTATCCTTTCCCCCTTTATTGCCTCCTTTCTTCCCTCCTTGGGCATTGTTAGTCTTCTCCTTCCCGGTGTTTCCTTTTGGTTCCTAACTTCATCCCTGTTTTTGACCTTTTGGCCGTTGCTTCATTGAGCAGTCTGGATCCCCGGCAAAATGTTAAAAACATCTACAATCAGCACACCATGGCGTATCAACACCTACCACTTCAATCTCTGAATCGCCATGTTCCGCCATATCCACAATGAGCCAAGGCTTGAAGCGGAGTCTTGCGGAAAATACCAGGTCAAATCGCACATTCTGCAATTCCGGACAGCCGGGTTTCCTGAATAATGGGTGTGTTTTCAAAATCGGTCCAAAGGCTTCTTCCACAGCAGTTTCCAGTTGGGGAAGGGCAGCAATCGAAACCATCATGCATCTTATCCAGAAGAAGCTATACCTCATCGGTTCCCTCCAAGCCTGTAGCTGCTTCTCGTTCATCCATGGTTGGAAGGTTACAGAGTACGTTTTCCCTTCCACTATGATTCTATCCTGCTTCTTGCGGAGCATGAACGTAGCCACCTGAGTGGAGGCCGACTATGTGTCCTATGAACGGAGAACGGGCGAAATTCAACGCCGTTCAACCCGTTCAACGGGCCTAGGGGGCCCCGTTAAATCGCGTTTAACGAGAAAACGGGGGTGTTCCGTTGAATTTTGAAAAACGGAACAGG